GTTGGCTGGGGTGTGTGATTAGACCATGGCCTTTACTTGGGTTTCCGAGGGAAAGACAAGTTAGAGCAGGTAAAGCACTATATAGGGTTGACTAGTCCTAACAACTTTGGGTGGCCTTTAATTGCCTAGTACCTGGCCTTGGGGTGATAAAGGCAGAGAAATATTGCTTTCTGGGCTGTAGGGCCAGATACAGGAGGTGTGGCTCTGGACTGGTTAGTTTGCATCTAAAAGGCATGCTCCTGGCTGGGCCCTTTGCTGTCTCTAAAAACTGGCTACCCAGGGTGGGGCAATCTCTTCCAGCTAGAAAGGTTTTTTTTGTTTTTGTTTTTTTTTTAATGTAAAAACTACTTTAAAAATTATATACACACACAATACAGATTTATGAATATTTTCTCCCATTCTGTGGGTTGCCTTTTTCTTGATGGTGTCCTTGAGGCACAAAACTCTTATATTTTTATGAAGTCTAATTTCTTTTTTCTTTTTTTCTTTTTTGGTTGCTTGTGCTTTTAGGGTCATGTCTAAGAAACGATTGCCAAAATGCAAGCTCATGAGGATTTATCCCTGTTTTCTTTTAAAACTTTTGTAGTTTTGTCTCTTAGATACAGGTCGTTGACATTTTAGTTAATTTTTAAGTATGGTGTGAAATAAGTGTCCAACTTCTTTTGCATTTGTATATCCAGTTGTCCCAGCATTATCTGTTGAAAAGACCATCCTTTCCCCCATTGAATTGTCTTGGTACTCTTGTCAAAAATCGACCATAAATATAAAAGTTTATTTCTGAACTCTCAGTTCTATTCCATTTATCTATATATCTATCTATCCTTAAGCCTTGATTAGTGTACTTGATTACCTGATAACAGTATCTTTATAATAAGTTAGAAAGTGTAAGTCTTTCAACTATCTTCTTTTTCAATATTGTGTTGGTTTTTCTGAGTCCCTTGCGTTTCAATATTAATTTTAGAAACAGCTTATCAATTTCTGCAAAAAAGTCATCTGGGATGTTTATGGTTAATACTTTGAATCTGTAGATCAATTTGAGGATCAGCAATACATTTGATTCTGTTATTGGATCTTATCAAATAAATTGGCTTTGGAAATAAAAGATTAGCTAATTAAAAACAAGTCTTTTGGAGTAATGAAAAAAGAAAGAGTTTGTTGAAATAGTACGTCATTTAGTGGAGGTCATTGAAACTCAGACTAAGAAATTTGAATTTTATTACAGATTTTATAGCTTTTTAACCCCAAAAATTGGTTTGAATATGTAGATTTAATTCTGATTTTCAGTACTGTAATGTTTTCTATAGCACCAAACAGGGCCTTTTCTATGTTTTCCATATGCAAGTTGATGTTTTAAATCAGTCAAAAAACATATGAAGCCTTTCCTTATAAGGACTCTAGGAAATTCAGAGTGGCCACTAGTAAGCACTCTAGAATAAAAGAACCTTGATGCAGCTTTTTTATTCAGGCACCATACAGTCCAATGAGGATTAATTATGTTTTAAAAAGTGACACCTGTTACTTATCCTCATTTGCCTGGGCCTTGAAACAAAATACTAAGTAGACCAAGATCATGAGAGCAATTCCCTAGCAAACACTTGGTCCTAATCCTAGCTTATTATGTAGAAAAAGCATTTTGTGCTCTAAGTAAGATGGCTATCTCAAAGCAGACTCACTCACGGCTCTCACTTGGGAAAAAAATCCAGAGAGAAGTGCCTTCCTCAATAGTTCCATAGTTTTATTTTGAGAACCTTTTATTATAACACTGCAAGTTAAAATATTTTTCTTAATTTTTATAATTTTAATATTGTCGATGTGAAAAACATCCAAACCTGTAGAGAATTTTTTTGAGTTTATTTGAGCCAAACTGACAACAACTGCTGGGAAGCAAAATCTCAACGGATTCAGAAAATGCTCCAGAAAATGAGAGTTTTGCAACTTATTTTATACATCAGAATAAAAAGAGAAGACATAAGGAAGATTACATGAAATCAATTGGTGGTAGATTAAGGCGGTGGGAGAAAGCAAAGCAGGGAAATCTGAGTTTGAATAAAAAGTAAAACGGAAAGGAGGACTTTTACAATGGTGGGTAAAGGATGGTTAATATTTACAGCACAAAGAGATGGTATTCGGGAGGAACAAGATAACAATAAGAGGTTCTGTGGTCTTTTGTGCTCTGTTGGAGTTGTGCCCTGAGTGGTGTGGAAAAGGAGATTACTCTGACATTTCAAAGGTATGTTATTTTAGATGTAAGACAATAGGCTTTCTTAAGGTAAAGACTGACCTTTGTCAAGGAAGCTACAGACCTAGGATGTGACTACCTGCCATGACTTGCTTTTAGTTAGGAATTTTTATGTTCAGACGGTACTGTGTAATTGCTTTTGGTCTCTGTTTAAGGTTCACTATGCATGCATCCGCTGAGCTGATCAGGTTTAGTATGTGGCCTCCTTTTTGTCCACATATGTTTATTAGCAGAAATAAAACAATTTTAAAATTTGGCTCTGGTAACTCTGTATCCTAAGCATGGAGTTTAATGGAGAGTGATATGTATGTGTGTATAGCTTAAAGATTTGTTTTAAAATAATTTCAAATGTATAGAAAAGTTGCCAAAATATTGTGAAGAACTCCCATGTTCCCTTCACCCAGATTTTCAAGTAGTTAACATTGTATTGCTTCATTGCTCACTCTGTGTATGTCTATGCATGTGCATAGAACCCGTGTAATTAGCCTTTTTCCTGGACCTTTCAAGGTTTGAGAGGGCAAACTGCAGACATGATGTCCCATCACTCTTAAACAGTCCACCGTGTATTTTCCACCGAACAGGGTCACTCCTACAACAGCAAACAACCTTTCATATCAAGAAATAAATACGGTACAACACTACCATCCAGTCCATAAAGCCCATTCAAATTTCCCGTGCTGTCCCAACAATGTCTCTTTTCCTTTCTGGTCCAAAATGCTATACAGGAATACACATTGCATTTAGTTGTCATGTATTTTGAGCCTCCTTTAATCTGGTAGAGTTCCGAGTCGTTCATGTCCTTGACAGTTTTAAAGATTACAGGCCTTACTTTCTACATACGATGGCCCACAATCTGTGTCTCTCAGATGGCAGGAATACCTCAAAATGGTACTTTGCTTTTCCCAGTAATTTTCATCAGGAAGCATGCAATGTAGACTCCTCTCAACACTGGTGATGTTGACCTTGATCACCTGATCATGTTGCTGTCTTCAATAACCTAGTTTTCCCCTTTGTGATTGATTAGTATTCCAAAATCATGCCAATATTCTATACTGCATCAAACCTCCATCCATCAACCTTAGCGTCCATTGAAGAAGCCTGCCAAATGGTAATTCTCTACTTCCATCATTCCCTCTCCATTATCGAGTTGGCATTCTACTGTTAGAGCTCTCCTTTCTCTCCATTTATTTCTATCAGTGTGAACTTTTGTATTTCCTATTCTAGTCAATGGGCTATTATTCATTATCAGTTAATTTTGATGCTCATTGTCTCAGATTTGGCCAGTGGGAGCCCATTCAAGCTAGCTCTTAACATTACAATATTTTGAAGTATATATACTGTTAAGATTCCTCCATGTTGTGAGTAGCTTTAGTTCCTTCATTTTGACTGCTTTGTAATATGCTGTTTTGTGAATATCAGTTTATTCACCCACTCTTCCCAAGTTGATGGACATGGGTTGTTTCCAGGTTTTTTGCTATTGTATTTTGCTATTCCAACTCTAATGTTGAATTTCATATATATTAAAATTTTTCATTAACATAATTTACTCCGTCTGTTTGTTATGTAAATATTGAGCACATTGTTTTGCACTCTCACCAACACTGAGGCTCACTTTTATTTTTTATTTTTATTATTTTTTAATTACGTTTACTGGGATAACATTGATTAATACAATTATATAATTTTCAAGTGTACATTATCGTTTGACATCTATATATTCTATTGTGTGTTTACCACCCAGAGTCCAGTTTCCTTCAGCTACTATATATTTGATCCCCTTTACCCACTTCACCCTCTCCCATCCTCCTATAGAGTCCTATGATAGATGATTGGCTAAAGAAGCTGTGGTACATATATACAATGGAATATTACTCAGCCATAAGAAG